AATATTTTTTTTATTCTATGACACCTCTGGGTTATACCCGTATTTAACAAACGTAAACAATCCATTGATGGGAATTTTTATTGGCAGACATGAAAAGCTGATACTGACTGTGACGTCAATAGGCGTATGACGTCAAAAGATAGTGGAGTAAGCTTAGTTATACCAGGAAATCCTATTCCCCGAATCAGAGACTTGGCACGTGGCCCAGATACCTTAGTGGTTACCTGTCGCGTGGAGAATCTAAATATACGAAGTATTGAATATGTTAGTTTTAATGTAGATCATATGAAGATTGGCGCATTCTTAAAACCCACCTCGCGCCCACTTGTTAATCTTGAAGTTGTGTCACTTCTCAGAAATAATACTTTCATCGTAAGATTATTATCATATATACACAGGTTACTGCTTCGGCGATAAGCAAGTAAGAAATATTTTTGTGAAGGCCACTGGTCTTCCCGTAAGGCATATTTTGGAATTAGGTTAGAAGGTTTGGTTTTTTTTTGTTGCAAGAACTGATTAAAGATCGTTAATCTTACACGATTTCTGGAAGTTGGAATAGGGCACGGAATAGAGTATGTAATTTTCAAAAAGAGCATGACTTTTTTCACACTAAAGAGAGGAACAAGATAGTAATTTTAAGCTCGATACGACTAGTTTTATGTTATTGTGATTGAAAGGTAATGTTATAATTTTGAGCTGATATAACGGTCGTCTAAGTTCTAATTGAGATACCACTGTTGACTCGCCAAATTACAACTTTGTTTTTGTTTTTACGTTTTAGTATTAAGAGTTGAAATCATGCACAATTTGATGTTTGTTTTTAATTGGACAGAGTGGATTAAATCGTCTGCTAGAGTGGATTAAATCGTCTGCTTTATTCATAAATAGATGCTTCAAAACTATCTCTACTAAAGCAAATGAAAACATACGTGAACAGTTCTAACTACAGCGAAATCTAAATTATAGCTTCGTTACTATTTTAATGTGCTTCTAGATACCCCTCCCCTACCCTCCGTTAAGAAATATCACATTTTGATTATTTGCATTTTTTACGCAAGCTTGTTTATAGGTTTATCTGCTTTATAGCGTAAGTTGTAAATTAAAATAATTATACAGAAATAAAACCTAGAGCACGTTTCCTCAGTTTTTAAGACTATTCTTTAACTAGAGAGAATTTAATAATTGGAACTTGCTTAGGTTTTAGGAGGTTTAATGTTTACTTTTGAATGGAATATATATTTTAGATAAATAAAAGCGATCTTTGATATCATGTAGCCCCATCTAGAAGAAAGCCGGTGTGTCGATCATATTAGTGATTTTATGAATGTAAAAATCATTTATCATAATAGACAGAGAAAGATTACGTGCTTTTGCTATTTAAATCTCTATCTAAAATATAATAAAACCTCGTGATATTTAATGTTTTTAGATGTTATTTTATACTTTAAGTCAATTTCTGCATGTCTCATTCCATTATAATGCACTTCAAACATTGACCCTTTATTTTAACGCTAACACTAAAATAATAACTTTCGAAAACACTCATTGTAAAGACTAACTTCCTTGTCATTGTTTGATTATTCTAGAAAAATCTTTGGGTTTACCAGGTTTCAAAACTACACTGTAAGGTGACTATATATCTGTTACGTTCCCCTCCAAAAGTAAGTGCTAGTTAATGTGGCGCCATGTTAGTTTAATTAGATAGTTTGTCTGAATTTTCAACTGATACACTAAAGAGAAGACAGCTAATGAACGCCCTACCGCAAACACTTGGGCTATTCTTATCGAATAATGGGATTTGACAGACACTCTTATTACACTCTCACGTCCCCAAAATACAGAGCATAATTCTGAGGCAACAGGGCGCGAACCTTGGAACCTCAGAAAAAATGAAAAGGATGCATGGTAAGCAAAGTCGCATGTTTTCATTCCGCTGTGTCAACTTTCTGTACTTCAAAATCAGAACAAAAATAAATAAATATAATTTTGTTTTTATCATTTCATTGGACGAGATGTCGAATTCCAGTTGGGGAGGTATTAGAATACAATACTTGTGAAATATCGCATGGTATTTATCAACTGTACAATAAAGTTGATTATATAACCAGTTACTTTAAAAGTAAGGCTTAGTCGGCTAACTATTCTTTCATGACCCTAGACACAGCTCTCTTTCTACCTCACCTACCTGTCACTATTCGTGATTTTTTTTCCTCACATGTTTAGCTAATTTTCTACTGTTCTCATCAAAGATGCATTATTGTTCTTGACCGAACACAATCCAGTAGTTAGCGTACCGGACTGTAGATCCTAGGTTCTGGGGTTCGCGTCCCGTTATCGCTAGAAAACATCCCGCTCCGCACTTTGGAGTCGTGGGTACGTTATAAGAGTGACGATCAGATCCTATTATTCGATCTCACAAGAGTAACCCTCGTGTAGCTTTGAGCGAAATTTAACAAAAGTGGAAAAAGATACATTCTTTTCTATTTCATAAATCATGTATTTACGATAAAAACGTACTACTATAATAAAGAAACCAGCAACCTGCTGAAGAATTAAATATTGGTGGTCTTAACTTTGTTTACAACATTTAAAGTATCTATAGGAATATTAAAATGTCTGAATTACTATATATATACACTGCAAGCATTAATCTATACGAATAACAGAACAATCTGCTATCACGTGACGTTCTGGACTTTAGTCTTCTAATTATTCCAAAACGTACAATAAAAACTAAAGGCTTAGTATTTCCTGTGTACAATCAGATTGCGGTTAAGTCCATACAATTTTCGCTTCGCTAACCACGCATGCCCAACTGACAGGTATCGTACACAGCGGACATTCAGTTAAGATTTTTTGATTATTTTTTTAAAAAATACAAAAAACTTCCATAATACACATTATGAATTATGATCCACAGGATTTAGTCGGGCAACAGCTATCGAAGTGCTGACTTCATTGCCCTTTTCGTCTATGAAACAATATAAGAATAATTATTTCTGAGCATATGTATATGCTAAGTGAAAAACATGTATGAAAAACACGAAACATAATACGATTACATTCGTAATTCTTAAACAGCCAGTTCATACATACACGGGGGGTTAAGTACGTTATATTAAAACGATTTTGAATATGCAAATCAACAAGTCACGTAACAACCACAGCTGATATATATATATATATATATATATATATATAGGAACTGTTATGTAACAGTCCTTTCAGACGCAAAATATTCATACACTCTGATCATTAAAGTGTGTTCAAATCTGGGATTTAAATTTTCCAAGGCGGGGATATTATTTATACTTAATAGCATTGGAAAACAAAGAAATATGGACCATCCAGAAAGAGACTTGTAACAAGTCGTACCCCAGTCATGGTGAGCAAAGTGCGACGTCTTGTAACCAGAGAGAATTCATGAACATACGAATTAGTAGCAAAAGCCGTCCTCGCGCCCTAGGCAACAGTACGCAACATAATGAAGAAGGATATCTGTCTGTAAAAAAGAGCCAACAGGGTAAGAGGTCTCCAAGATAGGGCTTCCAATCATACAAGGCAGCTAGTTATCACCACCCACCGCCAACTCTTGGGCTACTCTTTTACCAACGAATATTGGGAGTGACCATCACATTATAATGCCCCCACGGCTGAAAGGGTGAGCATGTTTGGTGTGACGGGGATTCGAACCCGCGACCCTCAGATTGCGAGTCGAGCGCCTCATCCACCTGGCCATGCCGGACCGATCTGTGATGATTGTTTACAGTTTGTTTAGATAATCAGAATCTTCATACACAGTTAATAAACTGAGAGAAAGACGGAAGAATTCACAAACATTTGTTCTAAACTAATTTAGTACCAAATTGAAAGTTTCTAACGTGCGTTAACAAATTCAGCAGCACATTTAACTCTTTTTATATGTACAAACAAACTGATGTAATAATAATTGTAGTATTGTTCTTTATTATTAGTCTAGAACAAATAAATTGGTACCAAACTGAAAGTTCTTAACGTGCGTTAATAATTCAGCAACACATTTACATATTTTTATATGAATAATTAAACAGATAACATGTGATTTTTTTATGCTAGTAGCAGATGCAATAGTAATGAATAAATATAAAATGTGCAGTCAACCACATCCATTGGATCAGAGCGTAAATGCAATATGATTGTCAACTGGGCCGTTTACAACCGCCTTTTATCATTCGATATCTTATTTCAATAAGGAAAATTGTATTGCGTTTGTTTTTAAGTATAGGAAACTGAATACAATGCATTGTTGGCAAAATTTTTGGGTTTCGCTAAATAGCCGTGGGTATTTTTTCCGATGGATGCCACTGTTCTTGTCATTTTACTGAGTGAAAGAAAAGGCTGCTACCAAAGTGAGCGCTTTTTTTTTACTAGTTGTCATTTCGATAAGAAGTATCAAAGGGGAGATATCCAATTCAAATAAAGTTATTGGACACGGTACAATAAAATCATGCATCATGTATATATATATATATAATACCGACATAAAAATATATAAATATAATCCGAATACCAACAAATATTTACTCAAACACGTTCCTCTCTTTCTGCGTTATTTCCATTCGTGCTGACATAGCTAGATGGTTAAGTTGAAATATAATGGATTAAAATGTTTTCGATTTATTTTTATACTGATTATGCCCCAAAATTGGCTTATGGTGTTAAGATTCTGAGCAATATGCTTTTATGACATTTGAATTTTGGACGGTTGCTAGCTCGGGCAAAGGAGTAGTTATTATAGGTTCCCGTCTTGTGGGTGTTCACTGATTGATTTGGATAAACCGTGAAATCTCTCCAAGAGAGAGCACTCGAGAGATATAGGGCGTTCGAAATGTTAAGTACTAATGAGAAAGTGGGTGCCAGGAACTGATACTGATATCATATCAAACTCTTGCCAGTCGACCTGTAAATGAGAAATATCGATCATGACTTGTGTTAATAATACACGTTTCTTTTGTCTACAGGTAGTAGTGAAAGTGTATGCTCGAGTGTTATCCGTTGATGTCGAATACAAGACGTTATCCATTGGACCACAAACCACGAGTAAAGAGGTTGTGTGCATGTTGCTTAACAAGTTCCGAATGAAACATCGTGACCCAAATCTCTACTACCTAGCAATGGAGGTGTGGATCAGAAAAACAGGTATAGAAGTACTGATATACTCTTCAAACTGTTACAATTAAAATAACTCCTATCCGTCTATCTTATCTATATATCCATCAGTCTATTTGCCAGTCTATCCATACATCTTTCTTTCTCTCTCTCTATCTGTCTGTATCTACTCATCCAACCGTATATTTATCTGTTTAAATTCCTGAACTGGAACCCACTTCTTGTACTGTTAGTATACTTTTACTGTGTTTAACTCTCAGAACTGTTACGTACCATACTTTGAACAGTAATTACTATGCTTACAAGGGAACTATTTATTATCAAACAAGAAATAAGAGGAACAAAAAATTTACACTATTTTAACAAGTAATTACGAATAATGTTAAAGAAGGCTTGAAGGTGTAACGAAGAAAACGTTATTGCAAGTTTAACACATTAACAAATGTACAACGGTTCGACAAGTTTTTCTCATCTTCAAAGTGGGTTCCTCATCATCAAATTTGAAAACAAATAAGTTGGTACTACTTTAGCTGCTACTTAAACTATTTTATTTCACGTTTTTCTAGAACATAACACGTACAACATTTTAACAACGAATAACTTTGGCACCATTTTAGGATATTTTCTTATGATGAAGATAGTCTGATGATACTTTCATACATTGTGAGCTAGAGTGTATTGGATCGGAGATCTTAGGATCTGGGGTTCGAGACGTGATGTTACCAAAGCAAAACTTTCCAATTTTAGCTGTGGATATGTGGCAAATGACACATGATCTCCCTATCCGATTTCGAGTAACCACTTCAGGTTTCTGTTGATGTCTACCAGTTACCTTTGTTTCTGGTCCACAATTCAAAATTAGCAACGGCTATGCCTGAACCATATGGATCTCTGAGCTAGAAATTTAATTCATAGTGTGCTTAAGCTGTCGTTCTGGTGAATATTGTTAGAAATCATGCTTTGGGATGATTTTTTTAACAAGGACGGTGGTTTTCATACTATGACAGATACTGGTTTTTTAATCAAATTTCCTGTTGAGACAGTAAACTCATGGTAAAAAAATTACATTTTCCTTGTTTTATTTGAGAAATTGAAAGGTGGTGAAACAGAGTTTCTATCAACTTATCAATTTTAATGCTTACAAGAGTAAATTAAAGATTTAAGAACAAGTTGATTCAGCAACTAATTATCTTGAGTTTTTTACTTAACTTACACTCGAAAAGGTAGAACTAGTTATGTTTTTGTATTTGTCTATCTGTATCCAGTGTCTCGGCAGTAAGGCTAAAATCCGGGTTTCCTTACCCATGGTGAGCACAGCACAGATAGTCTATTGTGTTGCTTTGCACTTAACAACAACAAATCTATCTATTTATCAGCACAAATAGCCCATTGTGTAATTTTGCACTTAACAACAACAAATCTATCTATTTATCAGCACAAATAGCCCATTGTGTAATTTTGCGCTTAACAATAACAAATCCATCTATTCAGCACAGATAGTCCTTTGTGTAGCTTTGAGCTTAACAACAACAAATCCAGCCTATCTATCTATCTATCAGCACAGATAGTCCATTGTGTAGCTTTGAGCTTAACAACAACAGATCTACCTATATATATCGATCTATCCCAATATGGTTTGAAACACGTGATAATGTACTAAGTTGCCCAACATACGTGAGTTTGTGCTTAGTCGTCATTGGTTCTGGTGAACTAATCATAACTTAAATGTATTGCTTCACAGATCACTCCGTACGTAGTGAAAAGCGGTAAATTATTCCTGCTGTAACATGTTTTACATAACGCGTTGCAACGATGTTGTAAGAAGTGCATCTAACTGCATAGATTAAACCCATATTATAAGTTGTACATGATAAACAGTAGGCAACTTACAATTTAAATTTCACATGAAAATATTCAACGAGACAAGGAATACAAGTAAACGGGTGATCCGTAGTTAATTTGTCATATGGGATAATCCTTCAAACAATTTCTGTTGGATGAAAGATGACGCTTCTTCCGCTGGTTGACTATGGCCTTACCTTTTATGTACAGGTCACTAGCCTTTAACTAGGGTTGCTCTTGGTAGATGAGCACGCCCTCTGGGAGATGTAGGCGTGAGCATTTGTGTTGGCACCCATGCGGTGGAAAATTAGGCTAATAAAGAAGTGCACACGTGCACGTTCGTGAATTTTGCTGTAATGGTTTCCACTGGTTCTGATATTCCCCTAAGTTTATAGGAAACCTATATAGTAATTACACAATTGCATTTCCAAGGTTGATTTTCAAGTTTGATGCTTTGTTATCGTAAAATAATAATAATAAATAGACCATATAGAGAAGTGGACAATACTCGTATAATGAATCATGATACGTAATAAAAATGGTATGAGTAGTGATAAAATTACATAGAAAATGGAAAATAATGTTGTACTTGGATATAAATTATTAATTAAGTTTTGATTTATTAGCATTTACGTTTATATTTGAGATTTTCTTCCAGTCAAACCACTTTTACAGCTTTAAACCAGAACTGCTGATTTTAGAGCTACCGAAATAACAATTAAATAAAAGAGGATACCTAAAAGACGTGCAAAGTGAATCTACAAAACAGGCTCTCGTGGGTATTGTTATTGGGTAGTGAAGGTCAACCACTGAACCGTAATATAATTCCAAACAATGTGCCAATTTGCACTTTGTCAACTTGTTTTTTCTTGATTAGAAAAGTGTAAACGTCGGTGAGTTTGAAGATAGTCTGTGTAAATATATATGTAGTAACACTAGAATTATTTATAAAGATAATTTTTGTTGTTTAGCGGATGTTCAGACAGTAAAAGAATTCGTCGAATGTCATTGAAGATAAGATAATCATTGTATTAACCTGAAAGACCGCTAGAGGGCATGCATACTCTCCTCCGTTATTTTTTTTAAAGGTATTACTTAGTAACATGTTAATTGTTTATAACACGTAACTGGTCTGGTCTGTTGGGTTGTTTTGGTAGAACAACAAAATAAATAAACAGAAACATACTTACTTTTAAACTTACGTATTTTCATACCATACCTCTTAAGAAGTAGTATACATGATAATATGCTAGTTCTATTGTAAGCCAATGTCTTTCTTGTTTTGTCGCCTTGAGGGACTTGACGTAATACCACGTGACCCAAAGTTCCAGTCATTTTACTCGTGATTATATATTATGTTGTAATCAACAGTGGGTTGTTTGTAGAAGCGAAGGCTGTTATAAATGTATGCTGGTCTGGACCTTATTGTGACGACAACAAAAAGTACTGGCTGAGTAACTTAAAACATAAACAATAGGATGATACACGTGTACGAGTCAAAACTTTTTTGCATGTTACTCACTAATTTTTACCTCGCAGTGGAATACTTACAATAAACTATGTTAATCTTCATTTAAATGTTTTGTTCGTTACATTTTATATTCTATAAAAATCTACCTAATACCTTCGAGAAAATAAACTAGGAAATTGTTTAGACTTAAACGTATTTTTTGGACGTATAACATATATATACACCTTTTGTTTCTTAGGTACTAGTGCCATCTATTAGCAACTATCATTTAAATATTCTTTTGAATATTAGCAAATAATAAATAAAGCAACCAATTTTATGCCCTAGCACATTTTTTATGAAACACAAAATATTAACCCACTCCTTATGAAACACAAAAACATTTAGTTCCAGAACACATTCTTATGAAACAAAAAGGTTTAATCACTGGATATATTTGGAAATAATAATAAAAGTTGAATATCCATGTGTCAGAAACTTACTTTTTAGTGGTATAAATAGTAATGTAAGTTTATGGGTGTGTTAGGCTAATACTTTTTCTCTATTTTTATCGCAACAGTATCGCACTGTCACGTGAGTTACCGCAGTTATATCCTGAGCTTCCAATAATCGTCTGCCTTTTGTCAAAGTCCTCACAGGCGTGTTTAATTAGTTTGGAACATCTCTTTGACGAGACAAATTATTCTCCTTATCTATTTCAAACTGTGAACCTCACTCTAACATATCAACCCTTAGGCCATTTACTGTTTCCACTCATCTATCACATAGGCCTTCTAGAATCTCCATAGCCTCGACATCAATGAATTACAAACACAAAATAAATAAATGAATTAATAATACTACCTACACGAAAGAATCTTTTGTATCTGACACGTGTTATCAGTTCCCTCCCTTTCAGTTTGTTTGTTATGAATTTCGCGCAAAGCTACACCAGGGTTATCTGAGCTAGCCGTCCCTAATTTAGCAGTGTAAGACTAGAGGGAAGGCAGCTAGTCATCACCATCCACCGCCAAATATTGGGTTACTCTTTTGCCAACGAATAGTGGGATTGACCGTCACATTATAACGCCCCCACGGCTGAAAGGGCGAGCATGTTTGGTGGGACTGGGATTTCCACCCGTGACCCTCAGACTGCGAGTCGAGCGCTCTAACCACCTGGCCATGCCGGGCCGACCTCCCTTTCAGTTGAATACAATTAAATATTTTTGTTTGATTAATATTTCAGTGCTAAAATTATGTACAGCACTTGTATAGAAATAGTTGTAATTGCTTCAGCAAAATATAATTGCATAGCTTTCAAAATCCTGCACTTTGAATTTTAAGTTGGCTATATATCATCATTAATTTAATATGTATTTTTTATAGATAAAATTTGTGATCTTGAACTTTGTAAACGCCCAAATTTCCACTTGGAACAGTAGCTATATTTCATTTTAATATTTACGTTTCTGTTTACCTAAAGTTCAGAGTAAACCTAAGAACAATCTACTTAAAAATAGGATCACCATGGTCAAACAAAACAACCTTTGTAAAACCTATGCTTTTCTCCATATTAAAACTTGTACTGCTTTTTGTTTTATCTATATACATTACATGCCTATGAAAACATTGGTGATGATGGAATGTACAACTTCTGAAACATTGGAGAATTAAACATGTTATTTTGTATTGCCGTGTTGATCCTGTTTTTAATTAAACTATGTTTTCCGCCCATCGAATCTAGTTGTTTCGTGTTATTTAAGTGTTGATTTTGAGCTAAGTTCTATTTTTATCGACGTAGGTTTACCCATCAGGACGGTAATGGTGCTGGATGATGAAGCTAAACCTGGTGAACTTCAAGCTTGTCATCCACGCAGCGAAATCAGGTTAGTTCAAGTGTTTTATATTGAAGGGGTGACAAATTTTTCTCTCCTCAAGTGATGTGAGAGTGTAAGTCCATACATCCATTGCGTGCTGTTTCTGTGTGTTATTATTATTCTGCATAATTTCAGGAAACACTAAATGTATGCATACATAAATTTGTCAAGGATCAGTTGTCGGAACTGAAAAATAAATTTCAAATCTCCAAATTAAAGCCAGTTCACCACCTGCATTGTTCTAAGCATTGGAAACACATACTATTTATGTCTACTGTATCAAAAAAATATCGATTCGGGACACTTTACATGTTATTAGCTATGTATGTATACATGTAAATAAATGTGCATGCACAAATGAACAAACAGGTTACTGTTATTCAGCTTTTCTATTATATGAACATTACGGTATGTTATGTGGTCAGTGCTTTTATAAAATGTACTATACCTTTTCTTATGAGAGCATTATTTCTTACAGAATAATAGACTATATCTTTGTATTTGAACAGTGACAAACATAAATTTGTTCCTGCCTTTAATCATCCAGGACAAAGTGGCTCGTTTTGTGTTTACAAATAAGTCGCAGTTTTATGTAATCATTTATTGAACTATAAAAAAAAGAAGATGAAACCCTACTTTTTATAAGATCTACTCAAAGGATTTATGCCTTATACGATTAGTTATCTTCTGTTATCACTGGTTAAGCTCTTAGTGGTATCTTATTTCCTTATTACACCAAAATCGATGTTGTGTGACAGTAAGGAGCCATAGAAGGTCCATGTAAAAATGTGATGCTGTTGACGACGTTACCAACTTTTAGCTGTGGTGAGATATTAAAAAAAAAAGTAACAATCTCGTTATTCGGTTCATAGAATCAGACAGAATACCTGTGGTGGTGGGTACTGCTGGATGGTTGATTTCCTTCTGATCAATTGATCAAATTAGGAGCGGCTACATCTGAACCACAAGGTTCTCTTACTTGCAAAGTGCACGTAAGTTGCTGATCAAGTTAATAGCAAAAGGGAATCCTCAATAGCCGCGACCGTAATTAGATCTCAAATCGGTTAAGAGATACAGCTATGAGCTAAAATTTTGTACTTGAAAAACAAGAGGGAATCTTCAATACCCGTGGCTGTAAATAGATCTAAAATCGGATAAGAGATAGAGCTATGAGCTAAAAGTTTGTACCAGAAAAAAAAACTAGGAGCCATTCTATGAGCCACTATGCCGCGGCTGAAAATTCAATTTTAATGTGACAGTAGAAAGTACTTTGAACGTAAGATAAAGTTAACCAAATTCCACAGCTAACATATAAATATTTGAAGGCTTGAAGCAAGTTGCAATACTATTTCTTCACTATATTTCTTTATAACAAGAATGTAAGAAATTTTAAGCTGGGAAAACATAATCAAAATTAGCAGAGTAGACGCTATTGTTTTAATACGTAATATCATGCTGTTTTACGGCCGTATTATGTAAGAAGATACATTCAATGCTCTGTTGTATTTAATATGTAATGCTTTATAAAACTAAATAGGAATTTAACAGTATGAGATAGAGTGCTGTTTTAATAAGATATTTCTACGTATGCAACTAATTAGTTTCACTCCTCGCTTCTAGTTACTTCGTTTTATTCAACACAGTTTTATTGATCCTGTTCTAGATTCTTTCACTCCACTCCACCAGTTTGTAGGTTCTTGCTTCAAATGAGAAGGGGTGGTTTAGTCAAAGTGTACGACAGCTGCCTAATGACAGGTGTAAGTATCAGGACATTTAAACACTGTTTTTTTAATCAAATTAATTATATTATTTTCTCACTTTCAAGTCTTAATGCTATTCAATTGGGTCAAGATATACAATTTACAATGTTTACTTCGTGTTGCATACCGGAAATTAATTATCCTTTTTATTGCCTTTTCTTATAAAATGTTTTTCACATCTTTAAGGTACTGTAGGTAGGTAGATGTATAAATCGTTGAGCGAAGTTAATGTTTTAAATTAACAACTCGTTTGATGGATTTTCATCAGTCATACGAAACAGTGTTTGCGAATTGTTTTTACTCCAAGTTTTGAAGTTATTTGTACGTTATAATTATTATATTTTGAAGTAAAGTAACATACACTATTTATTGCAAAGAAAACTAAAGTTTAACTGTGGAAGGAAGAATAATTGTTTCGTAAACTAATTGTCGTTTATTTGTTAACTTTTCTTTAAATTTATTCTTCTGTGTATAGTAGTATGCATTGATTGAAAATTTGACTGATAAATAATTTCTGTTTATCTGATTTTTCAGTCTTTATACAAAAGTCTATTGATATCGGATAGAACTACAACAGAAGAAGTGATACAACTTCTTTTACATTGTTACAATTCAAAGGAAAGACCAAATAAATTTTCCTTGTTTGAAATTTCATCGGTTCAAAAATGTAAGTAGGATCTACTTTAGTAAATAACTGTAAGAAACCTACAAGTTTGTGGCAAAATGAGTTTCATACATATTACCAAAGTTTTATTATACAAAACATCATTGTTAGATTTTTTCCACTTTAATGTAGTGGCAATCCATAAGTAATATACCAATTCATTAAAAGTAAAATTTAACGTTTCTTTTACAGATAGTTAATTAATTATATTTAGGAAGCAAATAGGTTTAAAAAGCTAGAGAAAACTACAAGTTAATAAATCCAGTAACATGCACACTCGGAAGATGGACTTTCCTTCTCCAGAGGTAAATTGCGAGAGAGCAACTCATTGTCTTTACTGCCATCTATTGTTAAAGATTAATTATAAAGGAAGTTGTTAGGAAATACCTTATAATCCGAGTAAGTATCAACAGAAGGAAAAAAAAAAAACACTAACCAAAACAAAAATGTGCAAGTTACCAGGAAATTTTCAGCTGCCTACCAAGATATATTTTTGTTAAAAGTAATTGAGTCACAATAAAAAATAGTACAATTATTTTTTAATTCTGTTGTGAATACGAGTGACCATAAAAGAGGTTATACGTATCGCACTAAGAGAAAATGTTTACTGTGGTCACAGTTAAAAGAATATAGTACCTTTATTTGCTTAAAGTATTTTCGAATAAAGTAAATATTGTTTATAACAAAATTTCCTTTCGTCAGATGAAAGAAAACTTCATCAACACGACTACCCGCTGTTAGTTCAACAAGAGTGGCCTAACCGTGAACAGTTTTCTTTTCATCTACGTAGAAACTCCGAATGCCTCCAAAAAACGGAAAGTAAGCTTACGTTTTTTTGTAAGATTTTCTTCCTAATGTACAATACAAATATATTTTATCCCGCCTAAGATAGATAAAGTAATAGTAATAATCATGTTATGTAAATAGGGCAGCAAGTTTCTGCTCTTCATTGCAGTGATCTTTGGACAAAGATGAGTGTGAAATAACCTCTGTCTACATTGGCATGTTGTAAGGTTTCTGCTCTGAACATTCATTGCACTGATCTTTGGACAAAGATGAGTGTGAAATCACCACTGTCTACATTGGCTTGTTGTAAAGAAGATTAACTTTTAGCAACACGTTAAAATGAGCAATCTTTAAAAAAGTTATGATTTTAGCTAAATATTTCTACACTTTAAATCATTATATATATATATATTTACAACTGTAAAAAATTTAATGCCTCACTATTACATGTGTATATGTATGTTTTAAAATACTAGTTTCCAAAGTGTTACCAAAGAGGAATAGCACCTAGTATGCTTAACTTTTAATATTTAATATTCTTTTTAGGATTTTGGAATTAATATATAAATAAAGCACTAATCTATATATACTATTAACAAATGCACATCACTTGCATGAATCAACTGTTTTGCACCAGCATGTGAACCTTAAAATTTTTACGGTAATTTTTTTAGGGGAGGTGGGAGTCCAATTCATCTCTCTGCTTCCGTCTTTACATCTAACACGCACGTCTTTAGTTTTCTAACCTTGTACCGAGGTAAGCTATCTAATAATTGCACAAATTACTAGAAATATTTCGGTATCTTGTAATATGCACAGTTCTAAGTGCACCACCTCCTAAACTAAATGTACTTTTCTAGTCAAAAACTAAACTAAACTAACTTGACTAAACACTAAATGTAAATTCCAACGTAAAACAGTCATCTGGAATACTGATTCTTAATTTCTAAAAATATTGAACAATGCATATGAATTGTGTTTAATTTTGATAATAACAACGTAGAATAACAAACATCTAATACGAATTACTATCACTTTTGTAGCTATAAAATAAATACAAGTTAAAAGCATACCGGGTATTTCCCATTAAGCAAAAATTTCAAACCACTCTTCTAACATATTTCGACTGTTTTAAATTAGTTAGGTGTTATAATAGCTGTGGGAAGTCTGTTATTCAAATATATTCAGTGAATGTAAAACGAATAAAAAAGTAACCACTTGTCCGATGATAAATTTTCGATGTTTAATTAATATATTTTTAAAAAACGCATCTCTTTTATATCAAATCATCTTTAATTTAAAGTTTAAGTTTACAAAAAAAAAATGTTATCCTCAACTTCAAATGTATGAACAAAAAAATCCACTTAATTCTTTTTTTTTTTCAGGTCATAGTTATTTTAATTGTGATGGAGATTTTCCAACAATGATTGTGAAAAATAACTTAAATTTTGTTTAAAAGGTGATAATAAAAGGCAATAAGTTGTGGTAATTAATGTTACGTTTGTTTGATTGTGCAGCTTCTTTGGATAAGAAGTACCAGTGCTTCTGGACAACAGAGCTTTAGGCTTAGCGTAAGAGATGAAGTTAGTCCCATTGCAATACACTCACCAACACTGAAGCCTTCTTTCAACAATTATGACAATTTTTTTACATCTGAACAGGAAGAGAAAAAATTCAACCAGTTAAAAATATTGAAAGCTAGTCAGTTATTTATGAATTATGACTTCACAAAAACTTGATATTTTTAAAAAATAAAATATATTTTGTCAAACATATTTGAAACTTATCAATTAGTTACTTACAATATAAATACAGCTAAATTAAAAAATGTACCATATATAAAAATCATAAATTTAAACTGTTAAAATGAACTAAGTTAATAAAAATATAATTATAAACTTACATTTACAGAAGTCTGTATCCATATTTCTGGTTTTTTTTAATTATACAATGCTTTTGATTTTAAAGTATTAAAAATATAAGATTACAAAATGTAACCTGGTGATTTTTATTCATTAATGTCCTAAAAATATTTTGGAATCATCTATGTAAAATACATGTTAAGTTACATATTTATTACTCATGAATTCTGTTACAATGTTCAAATTATTTATGTAATAAATTATAAACAATAGTAAATGGCAAGAAAGAGTACAATATCGTTCCTCTTTATCACATAATCTCTACTTAATTTGACCTCAAATATCTTAATACAAGATTGAAAGCAGTACAGTATATATCATAAGGTTTGAAATTACTTGAGAATTTTGTGTAATTAAAATATGTTGGACACTCTGTTACCCTTAATTTTTAACATGGTGCGAGGCCCATTTATTTATCTTGCTTGTGCATAAGGTTAACATATGGTACTGAACACCGACTACTCAGTTTTATTTTTGTGTAACTGAAATATATATGTTTGCTTCTGTTGTATTGAAATATAATTTCATATTGTTATATGGTTTTATATAAAAATGTACAAAATTTGGTCACATGCTTTCACCAAAAGTATGATAATTTCTTTCCCAGAGGATTTTTAAGTTTGAAAATGGTTTTTAATGTTGAACCTATATTGCAAAAATATTACCAAGATGAGGTTACACACACATATATATGTGTATGTGTGTAAATGTTATATATTAATTTTATGATTGTTTTTGGAGATGAATTTTGGAGGACTTTATCACCAAACTTCATCCATATTATACGATTACAATCTAATTAATTTAAACTTACTCTCTTCATTTGTAAACTTTCATTATACTATTATTTCAAGAAAAATGTAGAAATGTGCAAGACATACCCTAAAGATCACTGTCCACTGCAGGGAATCAAACCCAATAATTTAGCATTTTAAATCCATAAACTTACAGCTATCCCACTGGAGGACTTTTGTTTGTAACGCAAATCTAGACATTTTACATTTATGTTCCTTTGCCTGAAGAATGTTTAATTAATTTTAGATCATGAATGTAAATAAGTTATATATTTTCTGTATTTGAATAAGCATGAATAATTCTGGTCCTTTTATGGTTTCATTTTTGATAAAGCAAAAACTGTAAGTAATAAGATGAAGAATTGGATGACCATAAGCAATATAACTAAACAGAGTATTGTGAAATATCTTGGTTTACTTAAACTTTTATAAGCAGCAGCATTTCTAGGTAAATAATACTTACATAAATCACATAGAATCTCTCTTATTTGACTATATATATATATATATATATAATTATTATTTAATGCTATTCATATCTGAAATGGAAGGTTATCTATTAACACTTGAAAAGAGTTTGGTAACCTTTGATTGATTTTTTATTTTTTTATTAAAATATAAATAATAAGTAGGATAATCAGCTTCAAAAATAAAAGTGCTTCAAATTTGAAATAATCACTTTTAACCATCTATTAAGATGATTAATGTACAAATTTTATGACTTTCTTTGTAAGTTTGTTGTATATTCTTTGATATTTATAATTTCAGATAATCTAACTTGTTTGGATTATCAACAGCTACAGACCAAAGTGTTTTTTATATAGAATATTTATCACTGATATACTTGTACATTTTGCAACCATGTATAAAAAATTTTATTTTTGAATATAAGATAGTTTGTAAGATAATATACACCGACGAGGTTTATACTATTTAGTTGAGTCAAAAAATGGCTTGCTAGGATTTCTCATTTTTATCATAGAACATTTTGTAAGCAGCCCCTTATATGCAAATCGCAGTTGTAAAACAAACTATGATATATAATGGCTGAAAGTTCTTGTGTTGTGATGTCTTTGCTTGTTTACAGCTTTCACTGATGAACACTTTCTATAGTTTGTGATTTATGTAAATAACCATTTTTACCTTCTAGTATTTTTTCCCAAATGGATATCTATATAAAATTTATAACAATATTAGGTCATTTTGTACTTTAATTAGATAGCTACAATTCATGCTTTATTTTACAGATTATAAATCCTACTCGAGTCAATGAAATGTTCTGTGTAATGTTGGTAATTATATTCCTACATGTACAATTCTTGAACATTCTACAAGACCTTATCTTAAAAACCACTATTGAAATTCCACAGACAATGAACAGCACTGTACAATGAATATTTGAAAATAAAACACCATGTTTCATCTACCTTTTGTGAGTGCTTTATGATAGATAATGATTAACTTGAATGGGTATCACTTTTTGCTTGATCATTAAAAAGGAGTGAACAAAGACAATCTGTCTTTCATCTGAACGTTATTAATATTATCATGTAGTTTTACTTCTATGTTTCTCATGGTCTGTGCATGAAACAGGATTATACTCTACTTAATTTTGTGTTAGTATTAGAATAAATTCAGTAGATTTTTAGAAATATTAACCAATTTACTCTTTTTATTAACTTCTATATGTAGGTAATCCTTTCCAACAACCACTGTATTTCTCCTTCCTAAATCATAATTTGTTACAAAACTTTAATATGCTTTCAGCTAAATTTATAAATTAAATAATACATTAATTATTTAATCATCAGCTTGAAAAATACTAATTGAAATTTCTATTAAGCTAGTGAAAAGTTTAGAACATTAACCAATATGATAAAATAAGGCTATTTATAACACTTTAAGAGTCTTCTATCATCAGTTAAATATTTTTTTGGTATTTTTTGACCTAATGTAATAATTAATTAGCTATTGTTATTATATTAGGGCAAAATTCAAGCTAAGTTGTATAGACAGGTTATATTTCAGTTTTTATAAAACTAAAATAGAGATTAGAAAAGCAGAAAGAAATAAACGACATGAAAAATTGGCGAAAAAATAATATTTTAATGTCTTCATACACTTGCTTTATACAAATGGCATCCCCTTGATAAATCAACTTACTGATAAACTATATATTAAGAATACTGTACAGTTATTCTTGCAACTAACTTTCTGCTATCTCAGCCAGTTGTTCCCACTTCAAACAATACATCATCATACATGATGCCATAGAAAAGATATAAATCTTAAAAGATGACTTTTTCAATTTGTATGTATTATCTGAGCAACACGGCCTAGATAAAACCCGTGCTCTGAATGGTCTCTTAGAAACTTTTTTGCAGTCAACACTTTACCCTGGATAAACTTCTAAAAAGTTGACATTTTTGTAAAACACGATCACTTTTCAATGAAAGTTTGCAGCATATCCAAAGTAAAACAATTTTCTGATCCAGTCAAAAATTCTTAGAATAAAGGTTATTTTCCACAACTTAATATTCATAGGCTTCAACAAAACTAAGTTAATAAGCTCTTGAACTAAAATATTAATAAGTGACTTCTCAAAACTAACCCTTAGAGATGGAAGCACATAGTTGGTAACCTTTTCTTCAAACTCAACCACTATGATAAAACAAAGTATATAAAAGAAAAAGACCAAACTCATAATAGGTGTACCATAAATTTGGAATGTATTGTAATGTATACATTATCACATTCTCTAATTAAGGCACAGAGTGAATAGGTTCCTGAGTTATATTTCAAAATGTTTTTATTAATTACCTTAAATTTCTATAAAAAAAAACTGATATTTAGTAAAGAAATCTAACTTTGGAGATTTTTATCTGGCATCCCATCAGAGTAGCAGACTAAAAGGTAAAACTGAAAAAATAAAGTTTTCAGACATCTGTCAAGATTATGTAAAACAGAGTTCAAAGAAAGCAAAGATCATAACTATTATTTCTTTTACATCTAGTTTGTGTGTTTATTTTTTTGCTGAATATAATGACAATTATTTCTACTAAATATACAATATCATCAACAGAAAATTTGTACAGTGCACTGGCATTAAACAAATATATCTATTGGTATCTTAACTTTGCACATTCCCCAACACCTATTTTAAACAAGAGAACATCAAGCAAGACAGCTGGACATGTATATTTACATACTGATAGCATTAAATCATTTGCAAATGATATTTAACAAAACCTTTTTTTTTTTGACATACTGCATGAAAATATTAAAAATTCAAATATATTTTACAGAAAAAATGAAATATTTTGAATCAAACAAGATGATAACATAAAATCTTTTTACTGGAAACAACTAAAAAACAAAAATACTGAAAATATCAACCAATACAATTTTTTTCATCTAGTGGTTTTCTACATAATGCAACCTCATAACAGAAAGTGGATATCATTCTGTCAAAGTGTCTTTAAATTCAGTAACTGTTAGTTTATTATTGTCTAACAATTTCAAAACTTTACAGGTGCATATCACACTGATGTTAAACAGCCATTCTGTTCTCAGAAAAAAAAACATCTTTTTTATATATAATCATCCTAAAGTTAAGATACAACATAGCTGAAAACAAACAAAGCTAAGCATTTCACGGGGGTAGAAAAAAAAAGCACTCAAAGAGACCCTTCAGTGCCTTAATTAGAGGAAAACAAATTTTAAAAAAGCCTGAATATTTAATAACCAGCATGTAATTAACATATAATATACAAAGTTATTATTTTAGACTCTTCAATCATTGATATTACATATATATATTACTCGTACATACTGCCATTATTGAGAGAGCATCTGGCAGTAGCAGCCAGTGACAGTTGATCATAATCCCTCGTTTCCATCACTAGTGTTCTATGGAGATGTAGAAAATTTCTATTGTTGCTCAGCCAACTATTGATGATAATTTAGTTAAATTATGCTATGTCTCTTCTAAAGGTGGTGGTGCTGATGGAATAACTCGTGATGTACCCTGGGTAAGATAACCAGCAACACTAGCTGTGGCTGTAAAATAGAAAAACAAAGACTTCAATCGTGAGTCTTCACATAAATTCTTACATCAAACTTTAAACACTTAACATATGAAAATTGTTTAAATTTAAGAAATAACTGAAGTTAAACAACTTTGGTCAGAGTAAAGTTATTTAGTTTAACAAATTACTGTGGTATGCAGGAACACCATGTGTTTTCTACCTCTTTGAATTTATACAGCATTTCAAAATTTTCATTCATTCAGACATACATACATTTTATTAATTTGTATCATTCACCTAAGATATTACCTTGTCTTCCAATGGGAAAAGTTACTGCAAGATTAACCATATGCAAGTTTAAATAGCTAACTTTTCCACTGCCAGCTAGATGATTTCTAGAGTCTACAAGATCCCTTATTTTTCTAACAGGAATGAATGAATGACCAACAGTCATGTGGAAAGCATAAGTGCTGAAGAATAATAGCTTTATAGAATTTTGCACATAATGCTCTTTTAAGCTCAAGTCGTAATTCTGGTAAATAAAGTTTAAGTTTGTTCCTTAAATAAAAAGATACGTTCCTGATATATAACCATTAAAATTAACTAATTATTCACAAGCCTCTCAATAAGTTCTTGGGACAATTTAGGAAGTTAACTATCCTATGCACTTTTTTTTAACTGTGGTTGTCATTTGTTTTCAATAAAGATTGTTTTCACTGTGTTTTTCACATTTGCATCCAGTTTTTTTGCACAAAGTCAATCACACTGAGAAAATTCCAAGTTACCTCACAGTAAAATATCTTGATAATATCTGCAGAGCTATTTTATTTGCTTTTGAGAACATTACAATACTAATAACTTAAAGATAACAAGTTATATCACTAGTTTTGCTTGTACATAGCACATAATGATAAACAATTTAAAAATATTCATTTTAACGTCATCATACAGCTTGGGATCTTTATTAAGGCTTTATATTTTTGAGAAGCATTTATAAAAGATACGAGTCATTTAATGTTATATTACATAAAAATTTCAACAATACTCTGCAAACAATGTAATCATATAATTTAAGCAAATTAATCTTGAGATATTTTCTAATGTTATATTACATAAAAATTTCAACAATACTCTACAAACAATGTAATCATATAATTTAGCAAATCAATCTTGAGATATTTTCTAATGTTATATTACATAAAAATTTCAACAATACTCTACAAACAATGTAATCATATAATTTAAGCAAATTAATCTTGAGATATTTTCTATAAGTAAACTTTCACTTAATTTTTATAGCATAAAATAGAGTTAGGAGCTCTGATAGTTTCTTCCAATACATACAAGAGTTATTATTAAAACAAGTCAGAAACTTGACAGTGGATATATATTTTTTACCTTTAAATATATACATTATTTGACAAAACTGTTTCACTGAATAATAATTACCAATAACACATTGGAATTACTTAATATCGTATCCATCAAGATACATTAGTATTTGTGATAATACCTCTTTTGTATCTCCTGCAAGTAGAATTGAATCTGGAACCTCTTTCATGCTCTACCGACCAAGCTAAAGGGTTAATACACTAGCAATCTCTAATAATTCAAACTAAACTATTTATGTAGCATTTCATCCAAATCTCTTTTTTTTGTTACACAAGATTTATATTGTGATGGAAGGAATAACCATAATACTATACTGTTGTAAAAACCAATTAGTTGCTTCAGCATTAACAGTAAAATACCACTGCCAGTTTCCTATACTTCTACATTACAGCAAGCAGTTACAATTTTTATTATATACTCCAATAAGTACAACAATCTTCCAGCTAATAATGAGTTTAAAACATTTTAAGTATTGTATTGTGCTTAATAGAAAAATGTGAAAAATAGCAGCTGGCAATTTTCTACTCCTTTACATTATACTGAGTAGTTATAATTTTAATTATATACACCAACACATAGAACAGTTGTCATGGTAACAAGGTAAAAAACATTATAAGTAGCATGTTTAATGTAAAAATGAGAAAAATAGCAACTGTCAAATATGTAATCTGTGAAACTAAGGAGCAAAAGAAATGCCACCTGAACTAAATCCTCATAAACATCTCTCAAAAGTTAGTTAACTACAGTTTATTAGCATCTCACATCGATATATTTCTATAAAAATTACTGTATTAAGAAAATTCACATGCCTGATTGCGGATATGAAATTACTCCATAGTCAAGATGACTCATTTTTATAAGAAGTTTACATTTTTTTATATCGTATAGCTTGGTACCATTCAACACCTGTTCACTGAGATTGTACTGTGATAAGACAAGATGTTTTACTTACGTGGGAGATATCCAGATATAGTTGTAGAAGTGATGAACAAGTCATGTTTTTGGTCTCTGTATTCAGACCAAATGGTTGATTTTTCTAGCACAGCTGAAATCTATTTAGATCAAAATCATTAAAAACAAAACTTTAATTCTGAGATCTTATACAAAACAAAACATGTTGATCATTATGAATAATCTACACTAAAATTTTCACCATAACAATTCAATTTGGCTGATACTGACAGAGCATCCAGACCTACAGATTTTGCCAACTTAACAAGTAAGGTAAAAAGTACCACAACAACTTAAAAAGTAGTATAAAAATGTCCTCAAGGAGACAAGAATAATAAGAAAAAAAATTCATCAGGAAGTAAGGAAAAGAAACACCAATAAAAAAGTCTGATAAAAATAATACTTTTAAGATGATGAAATGGAGAATATGCTAGGTGAACTAGTTTGTTTGTATTTTGAATTTCGCACAAAGCTACACATGGTTATCTGCACTAGCTGTCCCTAATTTAGCAGTGTAAGACCATCCACCATCCACCGCCAACTCTTGGGCTACTCTTTTACCAACAAATAGTGGGATTGACCATCACATTATAATGTCCCCATGGCTGAAAGGGCAAGCATGTTTGGTGTGACGGGGATTCGAACCTGCAACCCTCAGATTGCGAGTCAAGTGCCCTAACCACCTGGCATATTGGGCCAGGTGAACTAGTAGATCAAAACATTGTTCAATGAGCAGTTCACCAAACAGATTGTTCATTTCAATTGTTTACTGCCTGCCTTTTAAAATATAAACAACATTCTCAAAAACTTTCAAAGGAGCAAAACATCAGAGCCTTATTTTACCATGTGGTAAAGAGAAAAACGTTTTGAAAAAATTATATGAAAGCAACATTAGAGAAGAAAATCTGACAACTAGTTGTCTGTAACAGATGATCAAACAAAACATTAGTTTTGTAGCCAAAACAAAACAAAGGAAAAGAAGCAAACTACTGCAGTCTCTTCTGTTTATGTAGTTTACCCATTATGTATAAAATATGCATGCTTATTAGTTTTCTCCAGAATTAAAAAATGGCAAATGTTTTACTTTACGCTGAACATTATGCTCCACTAAAATAGATCTGCAAAATTTTATGCATCAGTTTGGCCTATTTTTGATTCTAGAACTATGTAAAGTTTTCCAAAAAATACTATGGATTTATATATATATTGTGTATGTTTTTGAGAGATTGATTTTGAACTTTTAATGGATGGTGTTCTTTATTCAATATTGTAATATGGATTTATATATATATTGTGTGTGTTTTTGAGAGATTGATTTTGAACTTTTAATGGATGGTGTTCTTTATTCAATATTGTAATATGGATTTATATATATATATTGTGTGTGTTTTTGAGAGATTGATTTTGAATTTTCAATGAACAGTCTTCATACCGTAACAGTGGCATGAACTTCTACCAAAATGTTTTTTGTTAAAGAATATGACTTTCTATGAATTTTAAATAGCCAACTACTCCTGGAAGGTTTCTTTACTGCTTTTAGCTGGTCTGATTTTTAATTTATTCTTAAAGAGAGTGAGTTGTGTATAGTATGTAAAGGATGATTATAGAGAAAACTTCATATTTAAAATTATTATGTCTTAAAAACTACTTGTCGTAGAATAACAGAATTTCCCAGGAAAATCACAAGTTTTTTTTCATGAAAGTTTGAACATAGTTCAGGTTCTTTCATAACCATATAATACTGTATACCTAAATTACTTTTATTGCCTACTAACATTGATTCTATTTTACTTCTGCCTTCTTTTGTACAAAATGAGATAGAATGATTTGAATAACATGCATGTTAGTATGCACGAGATTGCAAGAATCAGTTAACACTGCCCAGATCATATGATGCTTTCTTTAGCTTCCTTTAAGGATAAGCCTAATATGATAATTGAAAATGATTTAGAGAAAAGTGAATACTTTTTGTGACAATTTTTGAAATGCCTCATGTACTATTTTCAAACTTGTTTTTGAATAAATCTTGATTCTAAATGTTCCTATAGTAAGATTTAGTTCCCAGTTGGGTTTTTAAACAAATTTTACTAAATTAATTTTGTACCAACTTGTTCATGGATCCATACGAGTTGCACACAAAAATGTTAACAAAAATACCACCAGTTTATGGTGAAGTAAAACGGACTCAAAACACCATAGCTAAAAATATCACCACTATTGAGATTAATCTTATGCATTATTACCAGGATCCCCATATAAATCGTTTTAAAGCAGATTTTATATTTCTGACAGTCAGACTTTGTGCACATTGAAGATTCCTATTCACATTCATACCACTATAATAGAGAATATTTGCATCAGTGTTTTTTTTATTGCTTTGCAAAGATTGAAGATACTGAAAATTTTGGTGTTCTTTATTCAATATTGTAATAGATTCATTTGAGAGCATAAGTAGGTAAAAGTAATTTGATTAGTTTCCTTCCATTCTAAAACATTTTATTTCAATTTATATCATATGGAACTAGTAATAACACACAAAATGTAAAAGAAAAAAGAAAGATATATCTTAAGATTTGCTGATTCTTGGTCCAAATCTTATAACAGGATAAATATGCTTGATATGAAATCTTTATATTTTTAACAGGTGCTAGACACACAACTAGTCCAATACCTATTGACGTTACTTGAAAGTCGACTGGAGTCTCTTCCCAACCCTTCTGCTACCAAAGCTCAGATTGTTCAAGCTCTGAAGTCGATGATGAATAACCCACAATATGGAGAGCAGGTATGAGTAAAGCTTATAGCTACCAGGCAGTAAAGTCATTTAAATAATCAGCAAATTTGTTCAGATTTAACATATTGTGCAGTAGTAAGAATCTCTACCAATAAATGTACTCCTGTGGATTGGGTCTGATTATGAAGTTATTTTAAAGAGTATTGTAACATAGACTTCTACGCAGAGTGTGTTTGTGTATATGTATGCAATTTAAGCTCTTGATTTTGAATTTTTATTGTATGATTGATGCTCTTACTTTAGTATTGTAATATGGACTTCTATACAGTGTGTGTGCTTGAGAGATTGTTTTTTGAATTTTTAATGGTTGGTGTTATTACTGTAGAATAAAGATTTTTTATACAGTATGTGTGTTTATGCTTTGGAGATTAATTTTGGATTTTTAATGTTGTATTGTAATATAGACTTCTATACAGAGTGTGTATATGTGCTGAAGAGATTGATTTTGAACTTTTAATGGATGGAGACTTATTAAATAATAACTCAAAACACATTTATGACATAACTGAGAAAATTTTCAAACTGAGAATGTAAAAAAACACCAACCCTTGTTGGCTGCTGATTTACTAAGTGTGATTTTAATTGTATTATATTCAAAGTGAGTATGGAATTAGTAATTGCTCTAGATTAAGAATAATATAATCAAAGTAATTATTTTTGCATATATACTTCATTATATGAGATGATTTTCCTAAACACGATTTGCACACTTTATTACATGCAACGACTTATTTCAATAGGATTTATAGATCTTATTATATGACATGATTTACTTCAACAGGATTTATAGACTTTATTAGATGACATGATTTACTTCAACAGGATTTATAAATCTTATTACATGACATGATCTACTTCATCAGGATTTATAGATCTAATGACATGACATGATTTATTTCAACAGGATTTATAGATCTTATTAGATGACATGATTTATTTCAACAGGATTTATAGATCTTATTAGATGATATGATTTACTTCATTAGGATTTACAGATATTATTACACTCCCTGATTTACTTCATTAGGATTTATAGATATTATTACATGCCATGATTTACTTCATCAGGATTTATAAATCTTATTACATGCCATGATTTACTTCATCAGGATTTATAAATCTTATTACATGACCTGATTTACTTCAACAGGATTTATAGACTTTATAACATGACATGTTCTTCTTCATCGGGATTTGGTCCACGTTTTGGACCAGGGAGGGTCAGGTTCAGCATTAACCTCTCCCCCCTCTCAAGAACTGTTATTTTGTTTGCACTTTTACTGAATCCTAGGTAATAACCCTTGTTAAGTTGTTGCATTACTCACAGTACGTTAAATTGACATAACATGACATGCTCAAGTTATCAGGAAACAATCACTCAAGTTCACACGTCACCCAACCCAAAACTGACCTCCATAGCAGATATTTGAACTTTTATCAAGAATATGTATCATGCTGTAAAACTTATTTTAAAAACACAGTTTTAATGAAAACATATTTAATAAATGTGCACATATTGAAATAAAAGTTTCTTCCAAAGTGTAAGATTAAATTTCTTACCTGTTGTACAAGATCTTGGTTATTGTGTTGGAACATGCTGTTTAGTGCTTCACATGCCACTCCCACCATGTCCTTCCTCCTTTTCATAGCCTTTATCATTGATAATATACAGTCTGTCTGACCAAGGAGTCTAATACAAGCCTGGAAATACCAATGTTGATTTCTTGATTGATCGGTTAATGATACAATGTATTGGTACACTGAATGGTTTCAGTACAAAGATATTTAGGAGCCAATCCACATGTTTAGCTGAATTTATACATGAGAAAAATAAACATGTCTGCAGAAAGGTTCATTTCTTAAATTTCATGCAAAGCTACTCATGGGCTATTTGTGCTAGTTATCACAAATGTTGATGATAGAGGGAAGGCAGCTAGTCAAGACCACTTACCATTAGAGGGAAGGCAGCTAGTCAAGACCACCTACTATTAACACTTGGACTACTCTTTATCAATGAACAGTAGAACTGATTTTCACAATATAATATTTCCATGGCTGAAAGAACAAGCATGTTCAGTGATGAGGCTTGATCCCACGACCTGCAGACTGTGAGTCAAGTGTCATGACCACCAGGCAACTGCAGAATGGTCTTTATTAAAAAACCAACATAGGTGAGGTGCTCTTGACATGATATTACTGCCTGTTATTTATAGACCTGTTAGTCATGGCATATCAGTACACAGTGTAGATAAAAACACACATTTGCTGGTATTATTAGGGTAGCAAGCTGGGAATAAACATCTATATTTTTCTGTAGGAAAAGTTTAATAGTTGGACTATTACACACAGACTAAAAGTTTCAACTCCTTAGCTATAAACTTCTACCTGAAGAAAACCCCAGCCATGGAGCCAAAATCTTGTATTCTTCATAAAAAAGATAGATAAAAAGGCTGTACGTAACAGTCCAATACTTAATCTTTTTTCCTTCATATTTATTCACAGCATGAGTTTAAAAGAATAATGATCTTTTTTCTCTAACTTCTACTGTCAGAACATCATTTTTATGACCACAGTTTGTTAGTGCCTCTGTTTATTTCAATTGCCTTGGAATATTGAAATATAAGGTTCTTCCCTGAAATCCACATTTCCAATAAGGAGGTGATCCAGAATTAATTAATGTATACTTTCAAGGTAATTAAAGCAAGTTTGAATCAAACAAGTAAAAATTTAAACACTTCAAGCATTATTTCTAAACTTTACTACATAAAATTAATAATTAAATAAAGCAAAGGCAGAAATTCAATTCAATTATTGTCTTTTTTTCACTCCACACAATTTGCAAGTATTTGTACTATTTGTGAGTTCAATAAGTTACCTCTTACTTTTGAACTCAGTCTCAACAACTGTAACTGCTAACTAAAGGTTTCAACATCCATTCCATTATTAATAAACAAAGCAATAAAGTCTCATTTCTTGGAGAATGGTTTATGTATTGATCAATTTCAAGGAAAACAATCTGTTCATTTGAGCCAAGTTTGGTTTTCAAGTTAGGTTTCCTTGAGATAAATAATCTCTCCCCCAAACTTTCATAATCATGATTGATTTGACTAAATTCAAACCTCACAAATTATTTAAAAACAAGAAAGTTACAAGAAAACACTATATGTAACAACAGTTATTCATCAATAAATCTGAACAAATGTATCAAGTCCAAATTAAACGACAGAAGGCAGTGTTTCTAATACTGAAAAATGTAAAGTAAAAATCATATATTATACATGTTGCAAATGATATAAACAGTCCATATTTGAGTAAAAGGCAGAATCATGGTTAAGTATGACTGCTTGTACCTAAAATTCAGGCTTTTACTTTGAAAACACCTAAATAATTCAACTAATTAGCTCTTCATAAGCACTACAGAAAAAAAAAACAGCATCAAATTATCAGTGTCAGAAAAACATCAATACAGAAAGAATACCAGCACTTGGATGGATTAAGTAAAACACATGAAGTTAAAGCAAGCCAAAAAATAAATTTGAACCTATTTAGAAAACAAAAGTGCTCAAACATATGAAAAATAAAAACAAAAATTCTGTTAATCTAGCAGTTATAATGAGAAAGTGAGTCTATAAAATATATTCTGTAGGTATTAAGTGACTAAATGGGTATATTAGTACAATATTTCCAAATCTATTCTGCAAACTTTACACTGATTACAAGGTTGTAACAATAACATATCCCCTGATATAATCAGCATAAATAGAAAGTTTCACAATATTACTTTCTTTGTACAACTCAAATATTTAAAAGAATAAAAAGTAATAATGTTATAGGAGGCGTGTTAACATTCAAAATCAATGCTAAAAGGCAGTGAGAAAATTATCTTTTATTTCCAATAGATAAGAGAATAAGAAAAGTATCCTGAAACAATAAAACTTAATAGCAATAATTCAACAGTAACCAACTGGAATCTTCAAAATTAATGCTAAAAGACAGAGAAAATTCTTTAACAGGTTTGAAGATTCTTTGGACTCCACTTTTAGATTGCAGAAGTAAATGACATTTCAATTTATGTGGTTAGATTTCATCAAAATCCTCAATGTCATCCACTTCTTCATGCAGTTCATTAAAGTCCACATTTTGGATAAAAATTCAGCCTTAACACCAGATGAAATTAAATGATCTTAAGGCTACAGAAAAAAAAAACACATTAGATTTCTATCAAAAGAATTTAGCACAACTAAGAAGAGTATAGATCAATAATCATTATAAACCTTTTTTTTGAATTTTCATCAATTCATTTTACTAAACAAATGTTCAGTGAAGCTTTCTACTAGTTTCATTGGCAAATTCCAAGCAACTGACTATAGCAGTAGTTTCTCTGCAATTATTTTGAAGGTGAAGATTGAGCCCATAATAAAAATTGTGAGCAAAAAAAAACAACAGTATATTTGAAGTAAATATCCTCAAATCAGCTGAGTATAGTTCTTTGACTCTTAATTAATGTGACTCAAGTGAAAATAAGATTACTATTTTTTACAAGTTTGATAGCATACATTTCCTAGAAATGCCAAACAGAGATGAACTATGTCTAAAAATTTTGTCAATTAACAGATTTTATCTTTTAAGAGAAAAACTACCTGAAATGAAGCTTGCAAGGTAAGACAGTATCTTACAATTTGTCAACAGGTCTACAAACATAAGACATAGCTGTTTCTGCTTAGAATTCTATAAGTTGCCTCAAGAAATAAAAAAAAAAAGGTTGTACCCTGACTGCAACAACCTTAACCAATGAAATGAAATATGGAAACAATGGCATTGGCAACCTGGTACAATTAAATCTAATTTGTTTTTCACATATGAGATATTTCATTAAATCACACATTATTTTTAAAATAAGAAAGCTTACAATAAACGTATCTGTAATATACATAAATAACTTGCCTAGATAAGCTATTGACATATGCTAATAAAGACATACTTTAAAACAATGAATATCCCATACATTTTGTTTTCAACATAAATGATTACCTATATTGCATATCAAATAAAGAGTAAATGTCAGAAGACAGTAATGATTAAGTATGATTCTTTGTACCTAGGTATTTAGACTTTTACTCTGAGAATATCTAACAATTACTGCTTTAAAAGCACTACAAAAAACAGGATCACATTACCAGTAGTTATTCTTAATATAAGTAACTATGATTCACAGAATTAATTATTGCTGCTCAAATCAACTACATTGAAACTAATATTTGCCAAATAGAAATCAAACTTTCAAGAGAACAATTTACTTTTTTCTCTCAGATAAAATGATCTTATAACATGATAATTTCACTACAAAACAAATTATGAAAAATGAGTAACTACATATAACATACTTTAATTACTTCACTGAAGAATAACTTCATATTATCTAATTGGATGAAATACTTTACTGTTAGTTAACTGTTGCAAAATAAGAAAACCAATAATACATGCACTATGATGTCTAGAAGGTTTATTCTTTCACGAATAGTTGGATGAGAAAGAATATATTAATATTATTGAGTAATTTAACTTACTTCACTGTTTGCTAGTTGATGAAGAATAAGTAAACACGACTTTGGTATAGCATCATCTTGTGCGTCAACTGTCTTTAGAAGACGAGGAATGTGGCCTAGAGCAGGGACTTGGTCTAGAAGAGTTGGTTGGGCTTGTAGCAGACTTACCAGAGCTGTTGTGACCATTTCTAGAAGTTCCCCCTACAAACAAACAAGAAGATAAAAAAAAAGATATAAAATTATACAGTTTATTATATTAATCAAATTTATTATTTTATTTAGAGTTCAAATTAATTGCAAACTTCAAATGTTCTGAAGAAAAATTAAAAATTAAGATAAACAGTTTTAATACATTTAGTATTAGTACATGAGTTAAAAAAGAAAATATTTTTTTTTAGAATTATTATTATTTTTTGTACCCACATCTGGATTAGACTTGGACATCAACTGTAAGGTCTTGTCCAGGAGCTCTGTAAAAAAGTCTCGAGGCCGTCGTAGCACCCAGCCTGGGTTCTGTATAAACAACCTCAAGTAGACTCCTGATATAATAACTTCACCATGCAACTCTTGAGAACATAAGCTGAACTCTTCAGGAACCTGAGTAAGTGGGAAAATAATTCAACTAAATTCTGATATAAGACTTAACTGTAGTTGAGTTAGATTAATAATCTCATTTTAATGCTACAAGAGCACAATAATGTAACGATAAAAGTTCTTAGGTTATACTTGTATATGCATCAAATGCCACTAGGAACATGCATTCTTCATAACAAGAACAAATATTTAACTTAAGGTAAACCATTAATGACATTTATAAATTTATCCACATCTAGTTGACAAAACAAGACACTAAAATATTTAACCTGAATTCCATTTTCAAGACACAATTAACTACAGAACCTCAGCCTTGAGTTAATATCAAATTTTACAATAATAAACTATAATAATGAGAAAAAATAAAACAAGGACATAAAAACATTACCTTCCACACCGTTGTGGGATTATCCTTCTGTATCTTGTAGTGCCTAGAAAGATGCATAATATATATGTATATATATCTGCCAAAACACCTTATTAAAACCGAATAGAAAATCACTTAAATAGCTTTTATTATCTTAAGTAACACTGACATTCTAAGAATCACAGAATTTATAACCAAGTAAATGATTAGCTTGAAATTCATTTGAGACTCTAAATGTTTGAAGACAAATTTCTTTAATGTATGAAACGTTCTAGCATTAATAGCACTGCAGAGGACTTTAAACACCAGCATTAGCTGAGTTCAAATGTTTAAATGCTCATAAATCTTTTACTGATTCATTACTTGTTCATTACTGATTCATTTACTGTTTCAGATACTTTTTTACACAAACAGATAAATAGCAATCTCAAGTTTGAACAATTTTGTCCTGAATGATGATAAAGGATATATGTTAAAAAAAGGGCTGAAGTGTAGAAAGTTTGTCCTAGAACCAAGAAAAAAACACAAAACTTTACACCTATTTCTGATTTGAATAAAAACTCAAAAAACGTTTGTGGAATTAATGGATGAGTTATTTATTTATCTTTTGATGGTGAAGAATGTGAAAACTGGTACAGGGTAAAAAAGAGAATGAGTTTAAGAAATCTGTCTTTTTATTAAAAATCAAGAAATTGCCATCAAACAGTCATATTTTAAGCTTAATAGTGGTACTTATGATCAAACTGATGGTTCTGCTATAGAGCAAAAGCTAGATCCTAATTTAGGTTCACTCTTTCTTTTGGTCAACAAACATAGTCAATTTAATTAGCACTCTGAAGAAGTTATAACTTTTATTATGCTGTAAATATGCTATTGATATGTTTCTAATATTTAAAAATAAAACTCATGTCTAATAATTTTTAGTTTACTTAAAGCATCAACATAATAGCATCAAATTTACTGTTGATGAATGAAAAATTCCAAATTTTTAGAATTTAACATTATCTTTATAGACATGGTTAGTTAAAAAGATAGATTAGTTACAAAAAAAGCTATCTAACAAGGCAAGATAATTATGTGATATTAATTAATATTAATCATGGTTATTAATCAGTTATTGTAGAATAACTTATCTACCTAAAAATAAGGATATTTCTCGTATACTACTTGGAATGTTAAGAATTAAGTAACTGTTTTTGTAACCCAAAGTCTTCTTTTTACCAGGTTATATATTTATTTCAGTATTTTCTTATTTTTAAAAACATTTTAATTAAAAGTATCGTATGCCAAACCTACAGTCTGATGAATAAATTCTAAGGCTTTTATAAAAAAAGATTGATAGAGTCGAAATTTTAAATTCAATGCAATATTCGTTTCCCTTTCACTCTTTATAGGCATGACTGAGAATTATTTGAAGAGTCTCTAAGACAACCAAATCCCACAAGTATGTTTCCATAAAAGGCTTTTTGGTTTGTGTTGAAATCAAAGTAATTTTGAACAGTATCTATTTGGGTCAAACACAGAATTTCTATATTGCACTAGTCTTGTTTTGTATATAATCTAATTTTTCCTTGATGTCGGGCACAGTTACTTTGGGTTGACAGCTTTCCCTCTGTCAACATGAACATAAAAAAACATCTGACACTGAATTTGGTGAATTGATCACTACACATTTAAACACTGGATGAGATGTTGAACTATTTAATTAAATGTGAAGTTTATGAAGTAGATGTGATGTAGAACAGTTCTAAAAGCTACAAATGTTTAAAACTTTAAAGATAATTAAATAAAAATCTTTCTTATGCTAAATTGCTTATTTAGTGAATAGATATGATACAAAGGCATTTAAGATACGCACTTAGTCAATTTTTACTTACTCTTCTGCCATCCTTTGTACTTCATAACATAAACGTTCACGGGACTCATCATTCCAAATGAGTTCTGGGTTTTCTTGGACACCTGTATAATAACGTGATACAACACAGTAAAACAGATCAACATAAAATCAACTGTAAACACTGAAAATATCAACATAAATCAACTATAAACACTCAACATAAACGTTCATGGAATTCATAACTCCAAATGAGTTTTTATCTTTTTCAGTAGAAGTTGCATTGAGCTGTGAAACTTACTATGATTATGCCGTTCACGTAACTCTCAACATACATACATACATACATTATTTATTACTATGCAAAAACAAAACGACTGAAGAACAAAGTGTTAACAGTTGATTCATGTTGATATGTTTTCTTGTGTTGTATCATATTATTATAAAAGTATCCAAAAATCTGTGTAAACACATAAAAAAAATCTTAAAACTTGGTTAAAAGTAAAAAAACAAAACAGATTCACCCATGAGTGAGGACAATTAACACTTCGAAACCAATGTCAAGGACAAGAAAGCAAAACAAGTAAGAAAAATGTAAATGCCCAAACCTTTATTTATGTCAATTTCATCTTGTCTTATAAAGTATGCTTGAAAACATACTCGTTTCTGAATTTTAGTTATTTCTTACTTCTAAATTGCATTTAATACTTTAGCAATTAAAAGTGAAAGTAGGACTAATAATTGTTGTGTAGGAATCTGGAACTCTAATGGTAGAGTTGGAAGAGAATTAATTTAGTAAGTTGGATATGCAAACAGCAGCAAAGCCAAATTAGTTTGTTTGTTTGTTTGTTTTTGAATTTCGCGCAAAGCTACACGAGGGCTATCTGCGCTAGCCGTCCCTAATTTAGCAGTGTAAGACTAGAGGGAAGGCAACTAGTCATCACCACCCGCCGCCAACTTTTGGGCTACTCTTTTACCAACGAATAGTGGTATTGACCATCACATTATAACGCCCTCACGGCTGAAAGGGCGAGCATGTTTGGTGGGACGGGGATTCGAACCCGCGACCCTCAGATTGCGAGTCGAGCGCCTTATCCACCTGGCCATGCCGGGCCAGCCAGATTAGTTTCAGTTTTGATACAATGCATACAATAAAACCCATGAGAACTAATGAGACTTTTGCCAGAAATTGCCTTCTGATTCTTACACTGACATAACAGGTATTCGATTTCTAAACAAAATAATTTTCATTGCAATGTTTTCCAACCCTCCCCATCTTCAAGGCACACCTGGAACCACTAAAAAAAATGTGCCCCACAAATAATTGCATCTATCATTGCAAAGTAAGAATTAAGCCACACAAACAAACAGCTGAAAAGCAGCAATGTAAACCTGGTCATTAAACTGAAACTGCTATTCTAAGATATTTTATGATCAATAAACTAGATTGACAACACTTGTGCATATTTTCAATAACAATAAAAATCACAACATCAATGTTAAAGAAAAAAAAACGTGCACTACATGTTTCGGTGGACAACATGATTATCATTTTCAATAGACCAAGAAGGACGCATGAGGTTCATTTATGAACTGGAGTATAAGTGTGTGTACAATTAACAATTAACTCGAGTAAATTACTAATAATATATCATACAGTGGTGCCATTTACAATATAGAATTCCAGAAATTCACGTTCATGGCACCTGGACACAAATCTCTATTCAAACTCATTATTTCTGTTTTTAACAATATCTAATAAGATATAGGTCCAGGTGGCACGGAAGTGAATTTCTGGAATTCTATTTTGTAAATGGCACCATTGTATGATATATTATTAGTATTAGTAATTTACTCAAGTAACAAATGAAAATTATAAGTCCTTCTTTGTCACCTGAAGATAGTAGACAATGTTGCCCACTGAAACATGTAGAGCATTTTTATTTTAACCCTATACATTTACATTTACTATGCACATGAAACACTGGTGTTCAGATTTTTATTTTATTGTAATTGATATACCTTTTAAATGTCTACAGAAAAGTATAATTTTTTGCACCACACTGCCAGCTCACTAGCACAGTTAATGGCCATGGCACACTATGGGAAACTTAATTCCAGTGATTACAAGCCTTTGGTAGTAACTTATTCTATATTCCTAAACTGACATAACACATTACTGATTTGTAAAAAAAAAAAAACTAGTTCTAATGATTACAGACTTTTAATAGCAACATACCAGATTCTTACACTGCCATAACACATTATTGATTTATAAAAAAACTATTTCTATTGATTACAGCCTTTTGGTTGTAATTTATTCCACATTCCTACACTGATATAACACATTTTTGTTTTATACACCTGGAAAAAAGTTAAGCACCCCCGTGTTTTTTTCAAATGATTCAGATTCGACGTTCTTGTGACTGATTATAAATTACCATTCAATCTAAACGTGTCTAT